GCAGAGGGCATTTTAGCAGGGGAACATAACTGTGTTTGAATACTGACAGAAACAAGCCAGAGAGGAATGAGCTGGTGATAGAAAAAGAGAAGGGCAATTGCTACACTCATGTCCTAGAACAGAGGAAGGGGAGGGGCTGGCAGGTAGCTTGGTAGTTAAGGTGCTGGACTCCTACATGGCTGACCACAGTTTGAGTCCTAGACCTGGCAGCTTGCTTTCTCTCTCTCTTGTCAAATTGAAGAATAATAATAAATCAAATAAATACATAATTCTTCCAAAAAAATAGATGAAGGGAGTGGATTTGGTGTATAAGAGAAGGTCCTGGATGTAGACAGGAGTATGGATGGTTCATCCATGACAGTAGGCAGGAAGGCAGAGTATGTAGGTGCAGAGCTATTAGGAGCATAGTGATGGTGGGAGTTTTTTGGGTATACTCATCTGATTGCTGCAATTTTGATGGTAGGAAGTAGGAAGCATAGTCATCAGCTGAAAGTGAGGATGAGGGAGGGAGGTAGAATTTTGAAGAAAGAAGAAATTACAAAATAATGACCTAGGAAAATAAGAGACAAAATGGACACTAGAAATTAAGTATAACTGCCTCATATCATTAAGAATCCACTTGAAGTTCACTGCCATGAATTTAAAGCAAAGCCAGACGGGATGTTAGCGTGCTGTCTCCAGCCATAGTCGATGTGCAGGTGCAATCGTAGATCAGGCAGAGAGCTGCATTTAACATAAACATGAGGAAGGAAGAGAGGGATCGTGGAGTGGAGGGTGTATGCAAGGAAGTAATTAAAATGCTTGGCCATGGAATTTAAGCTGACAAGAAAGATAAGCATTAGGAAAGAGGAGCAATGACATGTGATAAACTCAGTGGATTATAGACCAGTGGCATTGAAGAATGGTTGGAATCAGAGACCTTCTAGAAAGAGTGAGCAGTGAAAGATAGGTAGGCTGGTCAAAGTGTGGGTTGGCTTGCAGTTATGGGTAAGGCCAAGGTCTAGAGCATTGCTGCTCAAGGAGTAGGTAGGGGACTGGTGCCAATCTATGAACTCTAAGTACTCTCTAATGAGGTAGGTTCAGAAATTAAAAGTAAAGGGACCAGCAGTTAGCGTAATGGCTATGTCGCTAGATTCCCATGTAGTTGACTGTGGTTCGAGTCCCGGACCCAGCAGCTTAAACTTACACTGGGCACGTGTGCATGCGTGCCCAAGATCCCAAGAGGAGAATGGAGGAGAAGAGATTGCGGCGTGGCCATCCCCCTGTTGGAGGGGGTGATTTCTCGCTTTCTGTCTGTTTCTCGGTGATTTCTCGCCTTCTCTCTGTCTCTCTGGTGACTGTACCACCCATATTGCAAAAAAAAAAAAAAAAAAAAAAAGGAAAGAAAACCTTGCACCCCCAAAAAAAGAAATGGAAAGTAAATGTTTAGAAACACTGGGACCAGCAGATGGCATAATGGTTACATTGCTGGACTCCCATGTAGTCAGTCAACTGTGGTTTGAGTCCTGGACCTGGTGGCCTAAACTCACACCATGCACGTAGTCCTGGACCTGGTGGCCTAAACTCACACTTTGCACTTGTGCTTGTGTGCCCAAAATCCCTAGGGGAGAATGGAGGAGAAGGGACTGTGGCATGGTCACCCCCCCACACACCCAGGGGCTGATTTCTCACTTTCTGTCTCTCTGGCAAGTAAATGCATGTGTCCTCTAGCAAAAATCTCTCTTAAAAAAAAAAGAAAAGAAAAGAAAAAGAAGCCCCATGGTAATATCCAGGTATGTGAGCAGTGGACTTGTATTTAGAATGCCTTTTTTTTTTTCATCTCATTTGTCTATAAATCTGTTGTCATATTTCATGAAAACACTGATTTGCAACAGACTGAATACAAAACAACAAAAATGTGACCCTTGGACACAGTCGAAGCCTCCCTCTCCTGTGCAGTATCAGGCCAGACAAAGTCACTGGAAGAGGCACTGGCAGAACTACTCCTTAAATAATGATGAAGTCACTGTTATCTCTAGCCTTTTAAGACACAAGGCTGTTTGCACAACTCCAGGGTGCGCCATTCTCACTGCACGCTATACGCACAGTACAACTCCAGATACAGTGTAAATGGTGCCCCACAGTGCTCAAGGAAGGAGTTGTTTTATGCCCACTTTACAGAGTAGAAAACAAACTCAAAGAAGTTACACGATTGCTGAAAATCACACAGCTACTAAAGTAGGAACCAAGATTTGATCAAATATGTATCTGTTGTGCCAATGCTGAACCTGGTCCACAGAGGTGTGTGTGTGTCATGTCTTTAGTGTTATAGGGACAGAATAGCCACAAACCTCATGAGAACTGGGGGAAAATGCCTTTGGGAATGTGAGGTGGTACATTGTTTTCTGTCTGTCTTTCTCTGTCTTTCTGGTGAGCGCACATGCCCTATAGCAAAAACCTCTAAAGAAACAAACAAACAAACAAAAAACCTTTTGCCTTTTTTAAAAAAATATTTGTGATGGGTACTTTTTTTTTTTTTTTTTTTTTTTAGGTTTTTGTCATAAGGTGTGTTTGCTCATTAGAGAGAGAGACAAAGAAAGGGAAAGTGAGAAATCACCACCACCACCATCCCCAGGGTAATGGCCACATTAAATCCCTTCTCCTCCTTTCTCCTGTTAGGATTTTGGGCACACATGCCTAGTGTGATTTTCAAGCCACTGGGTCTGGGACTTGAACAGCGGTTGGCCATCTGGGAGTCCAGCATCTTAACCACCATGCCACCTGCTGGCCCTGGATACCTTACCTTTATTATCTAAGAAAGTCTGGTATAGATCTATGAGGGGACTTCAAAAAGTTTATAGAAAATGGAATTTTAGTGTGAGTTGATTTTGGTATAAAATATTTTCAAATCCATTTATAGTTTTTTCATAATACACATTTTCCATGAACCTTTTAAAGACTCCTTGTATATTTTATTTTATTTTTAATTTGATTAATCATTATCATTATTCTTCAGTTTGCTACAGGGCATGTGCACTCACTAGAGAGATGGGCAGGCAAGTGGGGAGAAGTAAGAAAGCAAACCCACTAGTTCTAGGACTTGAACCATTGTCAGCCATGTGGGAGTCAAGCACCTTAACCACCATGCCATCAGGTGGTCCCTTGGTTGTATATTCTAAACCATCTTGATCATGTAGAAGTTCTTAAGACTCATAGGCCTCTGTCTGGAGCCTGAGCAAGCCCACTCTCTGATTGCCTACATGCCTGGGGCCTTGTGAGTCTCAGCATTTCCAGAAAAGGCGATATTGGTTGTTTCTGAGGAATCCATAAACAAAGTAAATGTTATTACTTCTCAGCCTTTCAACTAAGATCAAGTGTAGTAACAAAGCACTACTTTTTGAGGTATGTGTGGCTTCTTGGCTCTGTAGTGGGAGAACTAAGATGTATAAATGAACACATAAGTTTGTTTATAAAGCCGGTTCCTGTGTTGCAGGATGTGAACACTGTACAGGTAGCTTACTTCTTTTGGAAAGCCCTCCCTTGCTCCAAATCTGTGTGCCTACACAACATGTAGGACACAGCTCCGGAATTCCAGGTTTCTGTACGTGTGGCTTGCTGGGTTGCCTCGTGAAGGCTCAGTCTTTGACGTAGCGCAGGGACAGGTGGTAAGCAGGTGCTCAATAAGGTTGAGTTGAACCAGTAAGTGAATAAATGATGCTCACCCTGTATAGGTATTTTTGTGGTGATATGCTTAGAAAACCCACTAGCATTGATACATATTAATGTATAAGAAAAATATTGTTGGATTGACTAGAAAAGTCTTATTTTTATGTCCAAACATATGTTTTCGCCCAAAGACGGCGCAGGAAAAACAAAAGACAGATCAAAATAAGTGAATATAACTGGACAGAGTAGAATAGAATCCTTCAGTGTAGCTCTGAAGAATGAAAATAGAAAATAGGAACAGAATTTTTACTTTTAAAAAATATTAGTACAGGGACCAGCAGTTGGTGTAATGGCTATGTCACTAGACTCCCATGTGGTTGACCACGGTTTGAGTCCTGGACCCGGTGGCTTAGACTCACGTCGGGCGCGTGTGCGTGCGTGCCCAAGATCCCAAGAGGAGAATGGAGGAGAGGGGATTGCGGAGTGGCCATCCCCCCTGTGGGGTAATCTCTTGCTTTCTGTCTCTGTTTTTCTGGCAAGCGCACATGCCCTATAGCAAAAAAAAAAAAAAAAACCTCTCCCCCCTCAAAAAAACAATAGTAGTACAAATAATAGTTTTGGTGTGGTGGAGAGGGGAATCATTAAAATACTTTAATATGGTAAAATGCTAATCATCACAGTTATTAATTGAAAGTAACTTTAAAACCTCTGGCTGGCTTCATAAGCACAACTAGAGTTTTCAAATGCATGTTAGTAATTATTGTTATTAATGTGAAGTTTAAAACCTGATCCTCTTTCAGAGACTAAGTGTCAGTATGGATGAATTTTAAAATATGCCGAAAAATGGAGAACTACCAAAGAATTGTTGGCTCCTTTTTTTTTTTTTTCCATTGTGCCAAATTTCACATTTATCAATAAGGAATACAACTGACATTCCAGGCAGGATAGATAGACTTGAAGTCTTACATAGTTTATTTTCATAAATTTGTATTCCAGTCAGACAGGAGAATACTTTTATTTCAATATGTACCTCCTTGAAGTTAAGGGTCTAGAGTCATTCTAGAAAACTATGGCAAAGATAAGGTATTTCTCCCTAGTTTGTCTACAAAAACCTATAAAAGCTAGCAAAAGCTTAACCATTACATTTAAATAGAGAATTCTTCCTCTTCTAGATTTGAAGACTAAATAAAATGTAGAAGACAATTACATCCCTAGCTTTTTAATACCTTTTGAAATAATTTGTATATACCTTTTAAATAATTTCAAGTGCCACAAAAAATAATGTTAATAGCTCAAAATCAAAAGTTAAAAAAAAAATTCCTAAGTATAATTTTTGAAATCTTTTTCTTCTCAAGCGTTTTACGATGGGATAATGAGACAGATGTCTCTCAACTGGAAGGACATTTTGACATTGTTATGTGTGCTGACTGGTAAGTACATAAAAATCATAAAACTCCTGTTAGAAAAAATAGCTTTGCTGGAGTAATTGGGCTGTGCTGCTTTGCTGACGGCTAAGCAAAGTCAACAAATGAAGCACAAAGCCACCTTAACCTCAACAAATTAATATTCATCTCCATGTGACAGTTATAAGGTAGTCTTCTATCACACAGTAACTTCTACCACATTATTTCCCAAAGATTGATTTTGAGAAGCATTTCCATTTTCTGGAATTGCCTCTGTTTCATGCTTGACGTATCAGTAAATGGACGACTTAGGCAAATTGCAAATAATTATGGCTCCGAGAGGAATAGTCTGGAGAAAAAGGAGTTTATCAACACAAACAGCTCAATTAGCTTACTTCTTAGGGGAGATCTGACTATTGATATAAGGGAATATATATGTGTGGACACACACATATACTCTCTAGCACATAAACATGTCTGTGGAAGATCTTTGGGGAAATAGCGCTTCTTACAATGTATATTTGTTATCTCATATTTTCAACACAGTTATGATACTTAATTATACATAAAATAAAAATTATAGAGATACATTTATTTTTATGCAAATAATAACATTAAAATCTCTGTACCTGCTTTTTCAAAATATTTACATGAACTGTTTTGTCTTCTCTTTTAGCCTAAGCTACCTATTTGCCAATGAAAGCCTGATTCTAAGTTACTGGATAAATATGCATCAGACTTTAATAATTATTTCAACTAATCATATATTTCTTTACGTGATTTGAACAATAACTCTTTTAACACATGGGAGATAGTGATAATTCACAAGTATTTTCCCTGTTAACCATAAAATCTTATTTGTAGTTTTATCGTGATGTTTAGTGTAATACTTTAAATTTGAAAATACAAAGTGCAGAATCTGATATCCCGCTGTATTGATGAGCCCACTCATAAGATCTAGAACCTCGAGAAGGCCTTCCTTGGATGACAGTTGAATGAAATTTTTAGGAAGTAGTTTTATTATTATCATTAATTTCATATGATTTTTCAAAGAGTAACTTTTCTACCAAAGTCAGGGGAAATAGGTTTGCTTTGTTTTCCTTCTGAGAAGTATTTTTCAATGAAAAATAAACATGTTTTTTTCTATTTTTGGCTGAGACTTTCTAGTTCTCATGGCCCTTTTGGTCTCTTTGCACCCAATTCAGAAAACCTTATTCCCAAAATGGGAGAAGCCCAGATTTCTGCCTAATCATGGGTGATGTACCTCGATGTTACATCCCTCATCTAATCAAAAATAAGGAGCTAAAACCTCACTGTATGATTTCAGCGAGTAATTTAGTAAATGCCTTTCCTCACCAAATATGAGAAAGGAGCCTCCAGGTCTCATTGCACAGATGAAGATAATGCTGGCAGGATTAGATCAGATTAAGCATGAAAGTCAGATCAGAGAGCAGCGGTAAGAGAGAAGAGGGCAGCATCTTCTTGGAGGTTTAGACGAGGGTCACACACGGATGGGCTCTGATTATGTGGAGAAAGGCAGGTCTGGCCAAGAGATTTAGAGTCAAATTTGTCCTTCACACAAATATCAAAACAGCCTGGCTTTGTCATACCTTGTGTTATGGACACTCACACCATGTCATCCTATTTGTACCAGAGGGACAAGCAGAGGAAGTAAGATTTAAGCTCTTTTCTGATTAATGTTCTCAGTTAGGTTAAAAATAGCCACACAACATGTTTGAAAAATAGTCTTTTTTCCCCTAGCCAACAACAGGGTCATGTACAACTGATACACATAATGCATATTCAGTTTAAAGCTTTCATTACAAATACATAACATAATACAATATTCTATGTACACACACACACACACACATCTGGTGGCTATATGAGAATTTATGAATTCAAGTGAATTAAATACACCAAGCTTCATTTTATAAATGGCTTTTCTATGCATGAATTATTGTTAAGGTTTTTTTTTCCCCCTGGTGTTGTAAGTGCCAGAATGTCAGCCTGTTTTATAATTTCCCGTTTGTAAATGTGAAACATTAAGCTACTCTCACTGCGATGCTGATATTATTTCCAAAAGAAATGCTTTGGTAATGTTCTCTCTTCATATTCACAGGGATGGGTAAGCTGCTTAGAAACTTAGAAAGTACAGTAATGTGCATAACGTGCAGGGTGAATATGGAGAGATAAGGCACAGGAGTCCATGAGTTCTTTCTAGCCTGTTGGTTGGTGTTTCTCCCTAAGACCTATTCCATGGATGCTGTTTCTAGGGACAGGCAGGCAGGCCGGCCAGGCTGCATTTTTTTTAGATTGTCACAGAAGAGGAAAAGAAAGCTCTCTTTAGATACTACCTCCAAGATGAAACTTGAAATCCCCAATGCCAGAGAGAGGTGCCACACATAAATAGATCACGTTAAGTCTCACACCATCTTTTCCTTATTGTCAGTCAATGAGATCTGGATTAGGCCACAGAAATATGAAGCCAGAGTTGGAGTTCAAATATTAGGTACATGGATTAAATGCTTATTGAAGTATTTCCAGCAAGGGTGGCATTGTCTGATTCCCTGAATAGCTAACCAGTGGTACTGCTTGATCCCATTTACATGAAAACAAGCTCTATTCACAAACCTATTCCAAACCCACATTGTGGTTCAAGTAAAATGCACATGATTACAACAAGCGGTGATATGTTTATGCTCCTAAATCATTCATATATTCATATATTTACATTGAAACATTCATAAACCTGTGGGCAGTGGGGGAAATCACTTCTTTTCCAGAAGAGACAGTCTTTTAGTTCACATCTAAATTTAGTAGCTCAACTAGATTATAAAATAAAGAGGCAAACTGTGAAAGCTAGTCATTATTTCACCATTCAGCATTTCTGACAATGAAAAATAGTTTCATGGTTCAACAGTTCTTAAATAACTTGTAAAATGTCAACTTTGAAATAAATAGAAAGAAAAATTGAGGTACAGCCACACCTGCAAAAGGATGCTGTTGACAAACATCAAAATATTAGAATATTTAACCACAGGTGTAGAGAAAAACCTGCCTATTAAGTTCCTCAGTTGACTTGCTTAATGTTGAGTTTAATGTAAAGATTCCTTTCTGCTGGAATGCAGTCCAGCCTGGTCCTTGCTGAGTTTAAAATAGCGAGTGATTGTTAATTTTAAGCCTGCCTTTCCAGACTCCTGTTCAATCACAATATAATCTAAGGATCTGGAAGTAAGATGTTTTTTATCCAATGAACGCTTTCATTCAGTGTTTGATGCCTCTCCAGTTTATTGTAGCTCTGTAAAAATAGAAATGACTGTGTGCATTTGAATCCTCAAAAGGCTTAGAAAGCATGTCTGAAATGCCACCCATGGCCTGACTGACCCACCCAGCTGGGTATGTAGGACAATTAACACATCTGTGTGCCTGCAGCCCGAGACTTTGGAAAGAAGCAGGGGAAAGTACATTGGCCTGTAGCACCCACCTTGCGTGCTCTCTCGGCATATTTAATTTATATGTTGTGGTTTGTTTCTCTCTTTCGCTCTCTCTTTTCTTTTTTCTTTTTGGTTCCTTTTAACTTATTCAAAATGATGAAAGAAAAGTTTAGTTCTTACGTCATTTTTGTTTCCCAGAATGAAAATACCGGAGGCTCTAGAATTGTTTTCTCCCAGATGCGTGATCATCAGTAACTAGATCACAGCTCGCAGGCCTTTACACCTGAAAAGATCTGCAGCCCAAACAGTATCATGTGCTCTTGTGTCTGGAGTGCATGACGGCGCGCACGAAGTGCCACAGTCAGCCCTTTCACCTCACACCTGAGAAGACTCATGCCCAGAGAAAATATGCCAAGGATTGCCTGAGATCTGGAAACTAAAGGGATAGAGCCACAGGAGATTAGAATACGGGAACAGGCTGAGCTCCCACAGGTGGGGGTGGGGGGAGATCAGTTGATAAATACTGTAAGAGGCCATTCCTCTGCTGAAAGTGAAATCTAAACAGTGAATTTAACTTAGCACATTTCACCTTGAAAATTACATAGGGGTCTTCCTTTCCGCGGATATTGACATAGAGGAATGTCTCCTTGTTCTCTGCACTAATTAATTTCCCTATAAGAGGAATTATAGATGCTCTGTGCTCTGCATAAAATTCTGAGTCTCAGGGAGGTGAAAATGGTCCAGCACCTTTCCTTTGTCAGGAAATCAGTGATTCAGATCAATATGGAACAAAGCAAGTGTTGATGCCACAATTAAATTATAAAGAGATGTGTAGTGTGTGTGTGTGGGGGGGGGGGGAGGGGGTGGGAGTGTTTTAATGGCCAAACCAGTCTGTCAATGGATTTTGATCAGTAAACTGAAGGGAGAGTTGAAATGGTATCTCCATCCCCATCACTGACCCACTCAGCCTTTTTTAAATAGATCCACTTAAGCTACTGCTGTTCTCTGAGCCCATTAGGACTTATTTAAGGGGTGAATTTTCAGGAGATTATATATCACTCCTACTAAAACACATTAAAACTGCTCACATGACATACCCTACAAAGTATTATAGATTCTGCATCAGAGCTAAGTATAAAAGTTAGCATGCTTGGAATTACAGGTCAATTAGGGAACTATAAGAATTATTTTGGGAAATTTGATTTGGAGTGATGGAGTAGACAATATTACCTTTCAAATAACTGTTTGGAATGTGTGCTGGAGATGTAATATTAATGTCTTTGTCACCATTACCAACATTAAGTAGAAATAGTATTTTATAAGGGCATGTTTTAAGCTCAGCTGTTAAGGTGCTTTTTATTTATTTATTTATTTGAGAGTTTTTTTTAAAGAATTATTTATTTTATTTATTTGTTCATTTTAATTTGACCAGAGAGAGACACAGAAAGAGAGCGAGGGAAAGTGAGAAAGCAAAAGCAACTGGAACTTGAACCATGGTCAGCCATATAGGAGTGTCCAGTGCCTTAACCACCACACTACCTGCTGGCCCCCACTGCCAGAGATTTTTGTTATAGGGTGCAAAAAATCACCCCACCCCCAGGGGGAATGGCCATGCTGTAATCCCTCTTCCTTCATTCTCTCCTGGGGATTTTGGGCATGCACTCACACACCCACAGCATGTGCCAAGCTGCCTGGTCCAGGACTTGAACCACAATCAACTATGTGGGAGACCAGTAACATAACCATTATGTTATCTGCTGGTCCCGAGGTGCTATTTATTTTTTAAGAACAATCTTACCACTCTTAGGAGGCCTAGGTAAAACTGAGGGTGGTCTTCTCCCAAAAGGCTGCATATCCCAATCAGCCAGCTTTCCTATAGGCATGAGTAACTGACAGAGGTATTTTACTGCAGTGATAGTCCTCTTTTAAAAATTGATTATAATAATTATTGTTAAATGTTATTACCTCACTAAAGAATAAAGTTGAGCAAATTTTTTAAAAATTTAATTATGATTTTTCTTTTTTTTAAAAGAATTATTTTATTTTATTATTTTTCATTTGACCAGAGAGAGAGACAAGAGAGAGAGAGAAAAGGAAAGTGAGAAAGCAATCTGCCATGTCTGGGACTCGAACTGTGGTTGGCCATGTGGGAGTCCAACACCTTAACCCCATGACACTTGCTGGTCCCTATAATTTGATTTTCTTGTCATTAATCTTTAATAGTTGTTCATCACTTCTTACTATGACAGTGGTAAATTTGTGCTGCATTTGAATTACATTCTGTGCTCCAAGAGTTAAGAAAGTAGTTTTATGAAAGATAAGGAAGTTTTGTAATGGGGAATAGTCAGGTTATTTGAGATGGAATGGGATAAGTTTCCCACTCTAGATGTGGTTTTAGCACATCTGAGGGGTTTGTTTTTGTTTTGTTTTTCCAATTGCTCAAAGTACCCGTCCACAGAAAAACCTTCCACTGAACCTATGGTGGCCAAAGACACCGAAGATCTGACTTCCTGTTACTCCACTCATTTTCTCAAGTGAGAAGACCTATCAAATCTCAAGGGAATCCACTCAAGAGAAACACCCTACCTAAATGTTCATTTCTCCTTAACACCACCAGTAAAGCAGTGTGTATGACCTGTTTTAAGGTCATTGGAACTAATACCCTTGAAGAAGTCCTCCATTCTAAGGTCTGATGATCTGCCAGTCAGTCAGCAAGTGAATATGTATTGAGCATCATCTATGTGTACAATGGGCTGGGACTAGTCAAAATAAATACAGAGCAGGAGTGTCTTGAATATGGGAATTTTGTCTTATTCACAGCCCATCCCCCATGTGTAAGATAGCCCCTAGAATGCCATAGGTGCTCAACAAATATTTGTCAACTAACATATATTATTAATTTGATGGCCATAACAGCCAAAAGGTGTGGGCCATACTGATAAAACAGGCCTCATATAAAGTGCCTTGCCCAGTGGCCCAAAGCCACATAGCAGAAAGGTCAGAGTAGAACCCCATTAAACCCTGAACCACACTCCCTGCTATCTGAAGTGTGGCTCCATGCAGCAAACAACCCCTCCCACACCCCCACCCCACCCCCAACAGCCCATACTCACCCCTAGTGCAAGGAAGGATGAGGCAGGGCCCTAGAGTGGTTGGTACTTGCCAAATCAGGAGGGATCAATCTGCAATATTAGGGGGTGGGTTTGCAGGTGGCCCCTGCAAAAGGGCCTCCTGGGATGGCTGATTTAAGAGGTTTCCAGATGTTCTAGCATAGCACATTAAGAGGGGAAATTCAAGTTGTCCAGGGATTGCTTTTTCACATTGCTTTCCAAAGAAATACGTTTGGAATTGTGTTATAGGTTATGTTTTTTCAAGAGTTCTCTTCCTACTTTTTTCCCCTCTGCTTATATTTACTTATTTAAGTTTTGCTATGGGGAGCGAGCACTTGCCAGAGAGAGAGAGACAGAGACAGAGACAGAGAAGGAGAGAGAACACCCCCACCCCACCCCCAACAGCCCATACTCACCCCTAGTGCAAGGAAGGATGAGGCAGGGCCCTAGAGTGGTTGGTACTTGCCAAATCAGGAGGGATCAATCTGCAATATTAGGGGGTGGGTTTGCAGGTGGCCCCTGCAAAAGGGCCTCCTGGGATGGCTGATTTAAGAGGTTTCCAGATGTTCTAGCATAGCACATTAAGAGGGGAAATTCAAGTTGTCCAGGGATTGCTTTTTCACATTGCTTTCCAAAGAAATACGTTTGGAATTGTGTTATAGGTTATGTTTTTTCAAGAGTTCTCTTCCTACTTTTTTCCCCTCTGCTTATATTTACTTATTTAAGTTTTGCTATGGGGAGCGAGCACTTGCCAGAGAGAGAGAGACAGAGACAGAGACAGAGAAGGAGAGAGAGAGAAATCACCCCCCGGGGGGGCTGGCCACCCCACAATCCATTTTCATCCGAGATTTTTTGGGCACCACACGCCACCCAGGACTCCAACCATCTGGGATCCAGCGCCTTAGCCTCCGCCACCTGCTGGCCCTCCCTCTGCTTTTTAAAAAGCCATCCTTGTGGATCTTAGTAAAGAGAAGTGGATCTTCGCAAATAGAAGAGAGACTTTTTACCCTTTGCTTTGGTTTGCAAAAACACATCCCCCAAGCAGTGGCGCTAAGGTAAATGACGTGCCTCTCACAGGCCGGAAGCGGCACTGTCGGACACCGTCATTACGACGGCCTCCTTTACGGCACTGCCGTTCTCCCACGCTCTCTGCTCTTTTCCGCGTGGTGTAGAGGAGGCAAAGAAATACGAGAGATGGTCCCGGCCTTCAAGAAGCTTAGGGTCGGGGTGCAAGGGCACCTCCGGGATATAGGAAACTAGAGGAACCTCCGAATGCATCTCTGGTGGTGCTGAGCTCAGAAAAAGGAAGCGAGAGGTCACCATGAACACGACTAGTCAGATGGCCCTCTAGACCCACCTCACCTAACGCCAGTCGTCTGATGGCCCGCCTCTCCCACCTGAGCCTGCCTCTGCTCCTTCCATGCGCAGGGGTGATGGGATTGAGGCAGTATAGAACAGTGGCGAGACACAGACCCTACGCCGTGTGGTGCAGCTGTGAAGCCCAGCCCGACAATTCTAGCTGTGTGACTCCAGATCTCTTCTGCCTCCGTTCCCTTAGCAGTAAAATGTGGACTGTAACATAATAAAAACTGTCGCATAGGGATGTTGGGAGGACTAAATGAGCCAATCCACTAGAAAGGTACCCGGTATTCTTTCTAGTATTAACTATGTTATTATTAAGAGCTGTGTTCTGGCATGTGTGTTTAGTCTGTGTGTACTTGTGTGTGGCTCACCTTTCTGTAACCTCCCTGAGGACAGCACAGTGGCCCCCTTCCCCCCATCTCTTTATTGCCTCTCAGTGCTGTAAAAGCAGTTGGCGGCCCATGGCTTTGACAACCAGACGTCCTGGCGATTTCAGGACTTTCAATTTCAAAGATTGGCTGCATTTTCTGGCCTCCTAAGTTCCTATTTATCAGATCATATATTCTAAGATGGGATTCAGAAAAAAGTGCTCCCCTCCCCCCCAGTGGGTAAGGTTGGCAGACTCTAGCCGCTTTACTTTTTCTTGACCAAGGGCTCTAGCAGTGCCTGGGAGCCTTCCCCAGATGCTTGTGAGACTCACATAGTGTTTGGCAGCCAGCTCTACTCTGGGTTCCTTTCGCCTTAGATGCTTTCATTCCAACCTCACCCACAGGAAACCTTTTCTTGACTTTAATAACAATCCAAGGTATCTTAGTTTGTTTTCTTCTGCTGTAATAAAATACTACAGACTGGGTAATTTATGGAGAAGAGAAATTGATTTCTCACAGTTTTTAAGGCTGGGAAGTCCAAAATCTAGGCACCAGCAGATTCAGTGTCTGGTCCATTGTTCCAGCATGGTGCCCTGAACACTACTTTCTCTGGAGGAAGAAGACAGAGGGGCAAAAGGAGCCAAACTCCCCACCTCCCAACACCATTATGCGGGGGATTAAATATACAACACATGAATTTTGGGAGGACACATTCAGACCATAGCAGCAAGTATGGCTAATTAGCTCAACATCTGCTACCAAGTAACTTGAACTCAGGAGTCTAGGACCTGCAAGTTTAGATAAGGAAACTATAACCCAAGCTTCCAAAAATAAGGCCTGGTGAAAATCAGTTCAAACAGACCCAACCAAAAGGGTGACAGAGCAGCAGCAGAAGTTCTCAAAAGACCAGAAGAGAAAAAAGTCAGAGTTAACTAGGAAAAAGAAAACCCGGAGGTCAAGGGAGAACAACAGTCCCTCTGACATACTATCTAAACATGTTCTTTGTTTTGGGAGCTGTTCGTGCCTTGGTGGCTGGGTGAGTCTAACCGCATTGCTATTCCTAGTCACCAAGAATCATTCCCCTAAGATCTGTTCCATAGTTTGTGTGTAAGAGGGCTGGTGATTTGTTTTTGGAGGGCAGCCTCACAGCACCGTTAGTGGGCAGAGGGCCCAGGTCTGTAGGAGACTAGGCTCTAATGACAGGAAGTGCCAAGAAAGCTTCATCTCAACCAGATGACTCTTCCAAACAGCAGTTTAGAAACTGTCCCTTTAATATTAATGCATGGCCCAGTCATGTGTGAATCTGGCCCATTGGATGTAGACAACTTGCCTGTAGTTGGATAACTGACCACATATCTTTTTTTTTACCCCAGTGAGACACTTGAATGGAAGGAAACAATTTCTCTTTTTCAGTGTTGGGTAAACATGTGTAATTAGCCTTGTACTTATCTCCATTAGTATCATTAGACTTGAAAACCCAGTTTAATCTGGATTCTGCTCTCTTCTCAATGTCAGCCTCTTTCTGGACCAGTACAGAGCCAGCCTTGTTGATGCAATAAAGAGATTACTCCAGCCCAGGGTAAGTATGTTTCTATTTTCTCCTGAACACTGGTTACAGAATAATTAGTCTGTGCACAAAGATGGAGAGAGGAATGGAATGGCAGGATTAATGTCATGTAATACTTTAATACTTATTATGTCCAACTTCAATTGGGTCTTCTGATCTATCAGATTCTTTCCTAATCATAACTAGGAAACTTCTTACCCCTGGCCCTCTGATAAGAAACACAGTGGGTAGTAAAATAAATGAAACCGCTTCAAAGATAGTATGAGATTATTTTTATCAAAGAATTTTTTGAGTCTTTTCCTTTGATAACAATATCTTCATATTAAAGTAGAAGTATGGTATTGAAAGTTTTCTGTTGACTTCTGTCATTTTTAATCCCTTCAATGGTAACCTTTGTCATTGGGTATTTATTTATTGCAAAAGAATATTTTTTTCTTTTTCATTTCTGTTTATATTAAAGAAAAGGGACTTCAGATGAATCCTTATATTAAAAGTTCTTTGCTTTTAAAGGAAGCCATTATTTACATATTATAAACATTAGGTCACAATGAAGCCAAGCATGGCATAAAATATTGTGCACGTTTTTACATTTATATATCCATTTATGCCTGTGAGTAAATTACAGAGTTTGTATCCGCTCTTATTTTGTTGGGCTGTTATACTAAGCTAGGAGGTCCTGCAGCCTAAACGGAGAGTTAATATACATCTATTTAAAGTAAGAAAACGATTTTAAAGCTCGTGCATTTAAAAAAAAATTTAAGTATATGTGATTCTTGCTGTGCCATAGGAATTTAAAATGGGTTAACAATACTAATGTGATCTAACACAGGTAGTCACATTTATCTGGGAAGACTACAGTGTGTGTGTATGTGTGCATGTGAGTTCATTTTCTGAAGTTTCGTTGTGTTGTTTCTGGTCTTTTTTAAAAGGAGGTTTGCTCTAGTCTTCTGACCTCAGTGAGACTTATAAACTAATACCTTTCAATCTGTCTTTTGTATCTTTTTCACATTGAAGGTTCCCAGAGCAATTTGATAATCATCCTTTGCCTTACACTGTTGCTCTTTATTTTGTTATCTCTATAAAGCTCAGAAACTTTAACTAGGTCTCGCAGAGGGGCAGCCAATGCTTTGTAAGTAGTAATCAATTAAATTAAATTGGCCTTCTCAATTCCCCCTGGGAAGTAGGTAGCAGGTCTTGAGGCAAGGAAGGAGTATGTCCCAGACTACTGCAGCTGCTGTCATGGTTGAGCAGACAGCCCAAGTTGAAGGTAGAAGAAGGAATTTTAGGCCTCTTCATCCTCCTATTAGCCTTAGGTGATTCTTGTGAGCATTTGCAAAATCAGGATTCTCAGGGATTGCGCTGAGATTCTTGGATATAAAGGCCTCTATAAAAACGTATCATACATCAATACAATGCTTTCAAGGACTCCCGGATCTCACACTGCACAAACAGTACTTCACTCATCACCAACACCCCTTGAAAGCCTATTTGTGGCCAATACTCCATTTCACAGCAGATTTGCATGATTTACCTAGGATCTATTGTAAATCATGCGAATGATTTACAATAGAAAACTGCCCAAGCTATGAATAGACCTAAATGCACACTGGGCTGGAATCTCTAGCAGCTCTCTGTACCCTCTATTAAATCCTGAGCCACGCTCCCCCCTGAAGTGTGGCTGCACGCAGCAGCCCCTCTGAACGAGGACAGCAGCCCTCCTCCTGACAGCTGGTACCCACCCAGAGAAGGACGAGGCACAACCTAAGAGTAAGTGTACTAGGTCATGCTATAGGGGGAATTGGGAGGCAAAATCAGAGGGCGTCGACACCTACCTGCAGCATTAGAAATGGGAGTAAGGGGCCTCACTTAGGCCTCTCATGGGATGACTGATTCCCAAGGCTGCTGGTTATGCAGCTTAGAGTATAAGGGGCCTACCATAGAGGGGAATTCGGAGTTGCAAATGTCACGTAGACATACCAGAATTATCACCTCGGAATCTCATCCCCATTGAGAGATCTGGGGAGGCAAGGGACTCGTACTGCCTTGGCCTCTACCCATTTGGACCTGAGAGGCATTGTGCGGACTTGGCCATGAACAACAGCAGTCCTACATCCTATGCTGGTAAGCTAGAAGGGTTTCCACAGCTTGTGGGTAACCAGAAAAAAATGGACTCTTCTCCTTCTTAGCACTCAGGGCTGGCTGTTTCCAAATGACCTCCTCATGCTCAGTGTATGTGCTAAGGAAGTCACGCAAGGGTTTATGGCAGTGCAGCCATAAACTATAGAGCTTGAACCTGAACACTCTATAGTTTTGTGGCCCAGTGACTGAAGGTGCCATAAAGAAATAACATGGAGGGGCCACACAGGTGGACCCTGAGTTCTTAGGGAGTCAGTATGAAATATAGGTTCTCAAAGTTCTCAGTAAAAACTACTGTTTGGCCAAATGCTTCAAGTTCGTTGGATGACCCCAGATTCTGAAGGCAAAGTATAGTGGATAGAAAGAATCAAGAAAAAAACTTAAAGATTTATTTATTGGGACCAGCAGATGGCATAATGGTTTTGCTGCTGGGTAGTCGGCCACAGTTCAAGTCCCAGACCCAGTGGCTGAAACTCACACTGGGCCCATGTGTATGTGTGTGTACTCAAAATCTCAAGAGGAGAGGGATTGCAATGTGGCCATCTCTCCTGAGGGGTGATTTCTTGCTTTCTGTCTCTCTGTCTCTCTGGCAAGTGCATGTGCCCTATAGCAAAAATCTCTTTAAAAAAAAGTTATTTATTTCATCCACCAGAGAGAGAGAGAGAGAGGTGTTCCAACAGTCTTCATGCCATGATCCACCTCTCACACCTCCCAGCCTCAGCCAGCCTCAGATTATGTGCACGCACATGCCTGGTATACTTAGGGAGATCTTTAAAAGTAAACCCAGAGCCTTTCTATGTAGGTCACCCTTACAGATTATCATGCATTAAGCTACTGTACCACAGTCTGACCCCCAAAATCAGAAAATTCTGTGTATGGAACCCAAGTCTGCTCTAACTACTCAGCATCTCTAAGCCTGCATTTCCTCACCTGTGGAAAGGCGAAACTATTTCCTACCTGTGGTCTGGTGTAAAGTCGTTAAGTATGTAAATATATAGGATGCAAGAGACACTTCATAATGAGAGCTGGTTCTTTTTCTAAAGAATTATTTATTTTATTAGTATTATTATTCAGTTTGACCAGAGAGAGGCAGAGACAGAGAGACAGAGGGAGAGTGAGAAAGCAAGCTGCCAGGTTCAGAACTCAAACTGAAATTGGCCGTGTGAGAATCCAGCGCCCTAACCACCAGGTCACCTGCTAGCCCCCATTTTTCTTTCTTATTTAAAAGGTTTTTTTCTTTACTGAGTAAGTGAAATAAAGAAAAAAAAGAGATTATACCTCCAAAAGGATCTTGTTGCTGTGATCCACTCCCAACCTCAGCCAGCCTCTGGTCATGAGCAAGTACATGCCCAGAGTACTTAGAGAAGTCTTAGGATTTGAACTAGGAACCTAGCTGTGTGGGTCAGCCTCATAGAGTGTCATATTTTGCTACTGTGCCACCATCTGACTCCGAGCTGGTTCCTCTTGATTGCTGTACCAGCTTGTTTGATTAATACACATGACACACTTGTCCAAGGGGCACTGGCCTGGCTGAGTGAGTGCCTGAATTCCAGACCCAGTTTAGCACTAATGGGCTCTGGAACCAACTACCTCTCTTGCTGATCCGTTTGCCCCAACAAGGAGAAAGCGAGGGAGTTCACCTATACTCTCATAGAGCTCCGTTACCTCTAAAAAATCCATCTTGCAGAAAGGAGGTATACTTGGGCTCTGGAGGCAGAAAACTTAAGTTTAAGCTTAGGCTCTGCCATTGACTGGATTAATTTCTAGCTTCAATTTCTAATCTGTAAAATGGAGTGTGACTAAGCCAATGCATCGTACTACACATGAGGCTCTAAACATCTATTCAAGGCTAGTTTTGGTTGCCTTGCAAAAGTTCTAAAGAGACTTTCTGTTTATGGTAAGTACAGAATATGGGGGGCTTTGTCCCAACATTTTCCTTGGAGAAATGCTGGCAGGAGGGGAAGACACCAGGTTCTTGACCTGGACTGGGAATGGTTTGCGTATAAGGGAGCCTGTCATGTCTCCTCTGCACGTGTGTCCTGAATACCTGCCAGCAGCAGGCCCTGCAGTGGTCCCAGGAGGGTTGTGTACTTGATGAAGATGACACACCACCTTTGCTGTCAGTGAGGGTGGGGATGGAGGTCGGGGAAGTACCATTTGAGTCAGGAAAGCCATGATGTATTTTTGCATAGAAAAGTACATCATGACTTTCCTGATGACATAATACATTGACAAGAACAAAAAAATTACAGTATGAAAGTTCAGGTGTCAAGCTGTGGGAAGAAATGAATTATGCCATTTAGGGGAGAGTGGCTGCTTGGTTTCTAGCTTAAAGAAATCAGCTCTCAGGACCAGCAGGTGGCATGGTGGTTGGGGCACTGGACACTCCCACACGGCCAACCAGGGTGCAAGTCCTGAATCTGGTGGCTTGCTTTCTCACTTCCTCTCTCTCTTACTCTCAACCTCTGTCTCTCTCTGGTCAAATTAAAAAATAAATGAATGAATAAATAAAATAAATAATTATTTTTTTAAAAATCAGCTCTCTGGGGTCAGAGGGTCCAGAAGCAAAGAAAGTAGATGGAGAGGGGAAGCTTCCCTACTTTTCACAGATGAGGGGAGACAGTCTGCTAGAGAGAGCTTAGCCACTAGAGCAGGCTCCTGGCATGGCCCAGGTACAATGTCAAGTCCAGGGGCTGAACTTCAATCCTCAGCCAGACAGGGGCCCGTGCCTGGAAAATCACCTCAGGAAGCACC